TAGTAAATAAGGAATGATGGAAGGGCATAATAGTTATTTGATAAGAAAATGAATTAAAAATCCATTAGGGGTGTCTTATATTACACGTGGAGTTGGGAATGAAGGAAAGAAAGAAATATCAGAGAAGTCTAGAATCTATTTTCATCATTTCTTCCTTTTTTTAACAGTGAGTTTCATAGCTAAGGTAAGAATGTTTTTATTTGGTTAATTCTTATAATTTATGATGGGTTTTTATTATTGAAGTATGAGGAGATCTTAAGTAAGCTTAAAGAGAAGTAGAAACTAAAAGAATAAGAAGTTATAAGTGATTGAATAAAAGGAGTTTTAGAGTGAATTTATGAGAATGAGGTTATAAATAGATTTTTAAGCCAAATTTGACTTGTCATAAGCTGAAATAAGTAATCTAAAGTGTTAGGAATGGATTTGGAGCATGTTGAAAGTTTGGTAAGATTCTTAGTTTCAAGTGATATTTTGGGAATTTGGACTATTAAGAGTGTTAGAGTAATATAAGTTGGTTGTTATAAGTGTAGTTAAGTTTGACGGCTTGAAAGGAAGTCATAGTGGAAGGTTTGAGGGAGTTTTTGTCCAATTTCGAGTTGAAACGAATAAGTTTTGGGCATGGGGTATCGGTACTAGATGAACAGTATCGATACTTCAAATTGAAAATATGTGATAATTGGGTATGGGTATTGATACTATATGAACATTATCGATACCATAAGTAAGTCAAAAGTTGAGGAATTATTCAAAGAGTATCGATACCTAAGTAGTAGTATCGGTACCAAAGGTACCGATACCAGGTTATAAGTATCGATACCATTTTCAGAGATGAAATTCTAGAACCGATAATGGGTATCGATACTGAAGTATAACATTGATACTATAAATAAAGAAATATATGTATTGTACCTTAGGTACCGATACTATTTATATGGAATTTGTAAAATTAAGTGTTTTCTTTAGCTTATGTTTATAAGAATTGATTATAGTCATTTGAGTTTCGATATTTATGTCAATTGTATATTTGTGTAGATATAGAATGCAAGCAAGTATCGGACGAGTCAACGAGATAAGATTGAACAAGAGAGAGAGATAAAGAGTTATAAGCATTGATTGAACTAATTGAGGCTAAGGTGAGTCCATGCTATTAGGAAAAAATGATCATATGGAAATAAGACTTGCGATGAGTCTATTTTCAATCTGTAATTGCATGATTTCTATGTATACATGAGTACATGCATAAGTTTATATGTTATATGCATTGTTATGCATGAGCTATGTGTTATATGTTATTCTATATGTTATATGATCTATGTGAATATATGAGAACAAGATATAAACTATGTGATATGATCTACATGTTTATATGAACATATGATATAAGCCATGTGACATGACCTAAGTGATTACTTGTCTATGTGAAATAAGATATAATAAATGATATAAATGGTAAAGCCCATAGTATGTGATATGAGAGCTGACGGTATAATTGGCATGCCAAGAGTCGAGGGTTCTACGTGGTCCTTTGGACAATACTATGTGGTCCTTTGGTACATTTCTATGTAGCACTTCGGTGCAATTTCTACGCGACACTTACGTGCAATTTATACGAACTGTGGTGACAGCAATTGTGCACAACCTCAATTCACTCACATACCTTAAGTTCTCAGTAATGTACCAAGGGCTCCTAAAAAGATAAAACCTGAATTAACATTGCATAATGAGATATGTCATTATTGGTTAAATACATAATGATGTATGTTATTGTTGATTAGATATATGATGATTCATGTACATTATGAAAGTATGTGATTGCATGTTTCATTATTTTATTATTGCATTATTCCTCACTAAGTCTGTGACTTAGCGTGTACGTGTTTCACATGTAGGTTCAAAGAAACAAGAAGATCCAAGCTAGGACAAATCAACAAGACAGTATATATCAATCGAAGATTAGATCAGACTTCATTTAAGTTGTATGTACTTTTGTAATATGTTATTTTGTTGGCATGTAAATGTAAAGTTTAAATCAAATATGCTCTGATCAGTTTTGTAAACCTTTTTGGATTATATTTACGTAAATTATTTTGTTTTATTTTAATGAAAGTTTGAAATTTCAATTATCTTGTAAATGTAAATGATTTGAAAAGTCAATGTAAAACCTCAAATTTATATCCGGGTCAGATACGGGTCGGGGTGTTACATTCGATTACGCGTGGGGAATGATTAACATCCCACATCGCAAAAAATTGGTACTCAATCGCTTATGTATTATCGTAAATGAAAAAAATCATTCACATCAAAAATTAAAGTATGATCCACTTATTAAAGTTAATTAATTTGCTTTGAATTATTATTAGGGAAAATCCTTTAATTCGAAAAAAAATATTGAGATTTTCTCATCTTTCGACGGGAAGGCTATCTCTCCTATTTCTTGACCAAAAAGAATATTCTCTCATCGATAAAAAACATGAATCCAATATAAATTAAAAATCGACATTTACATAAATTGCTATTTAAAACAACACCCATTGCATTATTTGAAAAAGAAAACGTATTGATTATCATTAAAACATACATTTGATTTATTTAGAGTTCACATTTTGTTAAAATGTCGTATCGGATCGCACTACTTCGATCAAGCAATGTTTTCCACGCCCATTCTATAAATTGTTGTTCTTGAAAATATTCGAATAATATATCAATAGATAAAGAAATACGAGGGGAATAAATGTTATTTAAAATATATACAACAAACAACAATAATAATATTTATTTAATATAATAAATAAAACATAATGTATATAATATATGCGCATAAATGACTAGAATAAAATAAATAAAAAGTAAAAATCATAATGCGAACATCCGAAACTATATTCACTTGATGATTCAAAGGACCACAATAACAACACCCAAGATTCGAGGGACCAAACAACAATACCAAACAAATAAAGGCTATAAGCAAACATATATTAAATAAAAGGTCTTGGAAACGTAAATAACCCATAAATAATATTAAGGACTAAAATAAACTAAACAAGAAATATGAAAGGACCAATTAAAATTATACCAAAATACATCCATATGAAATAGTGACTAAATCAAAAGAATCACAAAACATAGGGTCAGATTTGAAAATAAAAAATATATCACAACATATGAACTAGTGACTTAAATGTAAATATTGAAAAAAAAAACAAATGCCTGAAATAGAATATCATATTTTCATTCGATGACCAAATCATGAGATTACAAAGAAGTAGGGACCTAAACGACTATTTACCCCAAAATATCGAAAAACACGATGAGGGGGTGCAAAACTACGTTGTTTTACCTTGAGTATTTAAGCCCGAACCCAAGGCTTTGTTTCTCGTCTCCCTCATTTCTCATTTGGTCTCAGAAAGGGAAAGATAGAGAGTTTCTCAAACTCTCTCAACTTACCTGCACCAGCAAGAGGAGGCCGCCGCTCACCGACGTTGTTTCACGGCCGCTCGCGATGGTCGGATGGAGTAAAAATCTCCCAAAATACTCCCCACATATCCTTCAACACTAATCCTAGTCCCATTTAACCTAAAACTCAGCCTAAATCCCTAGATCTAGGTTTTACCTTTCGAAAACTTAGAGATTCAACGACCCTTAAGTTGTCTGATACTTTGAACTGAGATAAGGTATCTCTCTCTTTGTTATTCTTTTCTTTTTCCTTTTGGTTGCTCTCGAGTTCTCCTCTGTGTGTAGGTTGTTTGTTGTTGTTTTTTCAGGTTGTTCTTGTTCTTTCTCTTTTCTATCTGTCTTTGAAACTGGGTTCCCTTTTGTTGTTCTGCCTCTCTCTTTTTAATGTTCTTGCATGTGATGGTTGATGAAGGTCAGTATTGCTTACGAGAAAATAGGGTATAAATACCCTATTTTCGGCTTGTGACAGAGCTGGATTGCCTCGGGATAATGTTGCTAGCAAGTTGATATTTTTTATTATTATTTTTCTGATTTTTATGCCATTTTCATTGTTGATGTTGATATATTGTCATTGTAGGTTGATACGACGGCGTCAGAGGCGGTCGACGACAGCAGCATCAATAACAGTGGCGGCGGTAGATACATTAGGGTTAAAACCCTAGGCTTCTTGGACGATCTGGACCCTTGGATGAGTCCAAATCCCACGGTGGAGATTAGGGCGACTGGGGCTAAGATGGAAAAAACACCCTAACTGTCTGAGTTGAGTGCTGGGCTTGGACCAGGTCGGATCTTGGGCCTCGGGTCTAGGTTCCAGTTGGGTTCTGGTGGGCTAGGTTGTTGTTGTATTTCATTATGGGCTTGAACCGGGTGGGCTTGTGTAATATGGGTCTGTTAGTTTTTGTTTCATTTTAGTACCCCACCGTTCAAAACTTTAGTTTTTTTTAGAATCCGTTCAAAATTTAACGTTAAGTTTTAAAAATTTTGAAAGTTTAGGTTACTAAAACGGAGTAAAACTGATAATTTAGGTACTAAATGCGTAAAGTTTTTAACGTTGAGGTACTAAAATAAAATAAAAACTAAACTTTAAGTATGTTTTTGAAAAAATAGAAGTTTAAGTACTAAAATAGATCAAAACTGATAAATTAAATACTAAACATGAAATTTACCCTTTTTAAAATGATTTTCTTTAAACAATAGAGCTTCGCGACTAGCGAATAATAGTAAACGAAACTCGTTTGAACCTAAAAAGATCAAAATTTGTAGGCTTAATATAAAAATAATAATTATATTCAAAATTGATTCTCGGTGTCTAAAGAATTTTTCATTAAAAATATATGTAAACACCCGTTTTTATCCAGGTTTTAAATTAAGATTATTATTATTATTATTATTATTATTATTATTATTAATAATATTTAGGTATGATTTAAAAAAAATTAAAGTTTAAGTATTAAAACAAATTAACCCACGTAGTTTACCCTTAAAGAAAAGATGTGTATTTCGTCCCATGCCAATATCCTTCCCTCCATTTTCTCCCGCCACTTACACAACAGTGAATATATACTTCTAAAAGAAAACCTAAACATCTGAGAGAAGATCCAGATGGATAATGCGAATTCAGCTCCGACAGGTTGCTACAAATGCGGAAGAACCGGCCACTGGTCTCATGACTGCCCCGACGCCCCCAAATCGGACCCTCCATATCCCAGAAGAGCCGGCTCCGACAATCCAAATTCCGCCGGAAAGGGATGCTACAAGTGCGGAAGACCCGGTCACTGGGCACGTGACTGCCCCGATCAACCCAATCCCAACGCTTCCTCCTCCAGCACCGACTTTACGTCGAATCCGCTTCCCAGACCCGAAAACCCCAAGAAAGTAGCCAAAAGCAGAACCCGACCCAAGCTCACACCCGAACTTCTCCTCTCCGATGATGGTCTCGGGTACGTCCTTCGCCACTTTCCTCGGGCTTTTAGGTACCGTTGTCGTGGTCACGAGGTAGAATACGAGATTTGTCTTATTTCTATTTAAATAGAAATGATTGTTCTTTGTTTTACCAATTTTGGGGGAGATTTGATTAAGCTTTTATTTTGTTTTTAGGTCCGTGATTTGAGGAACTTAATTGAGTTGTACAGAGAATGGCACAAGCATTTGATCCCATATTACTCTTTCGATCAGTTTGTGCATAAAGTCGATAAAGTTGCTTCTTCCAAACGTGTTAGGTAAATCATTCAACCTTTAATTGTAGTGTTTAATTACCCATTACTGAAATTAGGGTACTTAATTTTTTTTGTTTCAAGGGGTTAAAATGCCAGAATTTACGCCTCATAGCTTTGGGTTATTGAGATATTACCTATTGAGAGTAGGCAGACATAGGTGAACTGTAAACTTAAATCTCATAATGTGTTGGAAATTGCTTCAAGATTTGCTTACACTGGATAGCTGAGTTAATTCTGAGCATATATACACATTCTTCATTTGCTGCATATTTTTTGGCCAGAATTGTATTAAAGACTTAAGAGAGCGAATTGCTAGAGGAGGGGATCCTACAAAATCGCATGAAAGTCCAGATGAGATTAACCCTCCCACTGATGAGCAAGGTATGATAGCAATAGTTCTTTTCTTTTATTTTTAACACATTATATTTCCATGTCGCCTATTTAAAGCATCACTTTGTTTCATTGCTCGAGGCATAAATAGTATATTGTGCTCAAAGGTAACAAACTAAGCATCCACTTTTAATTGTAGTGGCCGGCCAGACTGGGGAACAAACTCATGACCACCATGAAGGAGATCATGTTGATGAGATTCAAGAAAGTATGCTTAATGAAATTTACCAGAAGGCTTCTGAGGTAACCATATTGCTTTTAGCTTTGGTTCTTGTTATAGTTGTGCAGTCACTTCTCAAGTCCATAGTTAGTAGTGTTGAGCACTTTATTGAAGAGATATATAAAAAAGGAAAATCGTTACTATGTTCCCGTATCAAAAGCAAAATAATAATAAAGCAATAATTGATAGTATGCTTCCTATGTATTCTTCTTTTATTTGATTGCTGCTTAGAGATTTGTGTTTTTCAAGCCTGTTAATTGTCGAATTTGTATACAGTATACCCATATAACAATGCAATTTTTACATTAAATGGAAGAAGTGGTGTTTTAGCTGTAAGGATTAAGGAAGTATTTATGTTCATATATGCCTAGAATATACGTAATTGTGTCTGGCTGCCTGTGGCGGATTCAGAAATTTAAGAATTGGGATCCATAATTTTAATATTCTTTTCTTAAAAATAATGGGTATGCAAAATTTATTTTTTCTATTTTTCCTTAACATACTAAACTAAATTTCACATTTTTCTCTAAATAATGAGATGCACTTGGCCCCCACCCCTGCTGGCTGCTAGTAGAAATGTTTTATTAGGTTAATTCATGATCCTACCTAACGGTTAAATGTATTGGATCTGGATCGTTGGATGAGTGAAAATGGACGGTTGAGATTATCTTTTTGTTTTTATTTTCAATGAATATCTTCTCATTTCCTACTATTAATAGCAACCATCTATTTTCACTTATTCAATGATCTTAAAAATTTATAAAATTAAAATGTTTTGCAGTGTAGGTGGATCTTGCTCTTATGGCAATTTGGCTTCACAACTCTTTCGGGTCATTAAAAGATGCTGCTTGTGGACGAGTTCATATATTTTATAAGATTCTAGTTTAATTCATAAAGATATGTTATGGATTGTTGCTATTTTTTTTTAATTCTGGGTGTGATGCTAATGTTAAACGGTGCTACATTCTTGTCATTGACCTCAGGAACCATCTCATGACATACACACCCCTACGGTTGCTGCTGAAGCACTTGCAGCCGGTGACTCAAGGCCACAGGAGCAAATGCCAAATGGTGAAGCTAACTGCTGTACTGAAATCCATATTACAGAAGAACAGAGCTCGGATGGAAGCTAACAAGGTGAAGGCAGTGGAGAGAGCTGCAGCTGCCTCGTGTTCGAATCACAGAAGAGCAGCGTGCTCGCATGGAAGCTAATAGGCTGAAAGCACTAGAAAGAGCTGCAAGCTAATAGGCTGAAAGCACTAGAAAGAGCTGCAGCCAGAGCTCGTTCTTTGCATTCAGCCCACTGTCGACTGTCAACTACAACTGTTTTTTGTTATTTTCTTAACCCGACCGAAAATCCCATATGCAGACAATCGTGGTTCTTACGCTTGTCAGCATAGGATTTTGTGCATTGTATAAAAAATGGCTTGTTTCTTCTAAATACTACCGTAGGTTATGGTGAACTAAGATTTTGGTTTTTTTCGTGTTTAGCCAGAATTTGCGACCTCTTTAGCCCAAGCTTTGGTTTTCAATTTGCTATAATCTCCAGATTTCTGGAGTATAATTCAATAGCTATGGTTGTAGGATGTAAGAAACTACAAAAATGAAAAATATTGATTAATGAAGCCCAGCTGAAATTGACCTGATCCATCATTCCAATTGGTCTAATATTGGAAAAGGAAGATTACTCAAGCACTGATTAATCAAGCAACAAATAAGGATCTACCCAAAGGTATAGCAAATTATAAAATTATACACACGAAGCTTCAATTCAGCTGAATCTGTTAAGAGATTACAAGTATCTGAGTTCGTCTAATCTGGTGCTTGGATTTCAAATCTTGCGGGCGAAAATCTTGGATTCCAAAAGTGGAGTCTGCAATTCTTCCATTGCGGCACCCAAATGTGTGATGAGCGTTTGTGTACACCTACCAGTTCCTTATGGATCTATCGGTAGAAAATTGTAATTTACATAGATCGGATATATTCAACCTCAATCTCAACTATCCCCTACATCATCTTGACTCCGGCTTGAGACCAATCCCGCTTGGCGTGCTAAAAACCATCGACTGGATATAGGAGAAAAATAAAACAAGGTAACACAAAAGTGTAGCCAACTATTTATCATAAAATACAGATTTTTAATTTCTTAGTGATTGAGTAGATCATTTTATAATCATTGCTTACTTTCTAAAACATTTGCAGGGCAACTAGTTTCCAGCCATTAAATCTAATATTAGATGATTGAGGAATCGAATGGAAGGTTGAACTCGAGATTTAAAATTTAACACCTACCTACACACCTTTGTTCAAATGTAAGATGAACAACAAAATTCTATAATACAGTCAAGCATCCACTATCTGATCAAATTACAAACTAAGATGACTAGCTGCCAGGTTGTAAATCATCAACAAAGACAAAACCATGAAGATGCTACTGGAATGATGGGGAATGACGAGGATGCTTTGCCAGCTGACATGCTAGCCAACAAGTAGACGATACTGCAGTTGCAGATGTAACAATTGAGATAACATGCAATACTAAATGTGGATTTGATTTGACCAGCTATAACACATTCTGTATGAAGAATTTATAGAACGATGAGCTCGTCGAGGAAAATGAGGTTTGGAGAAGTTGCAGTAACATTATATAAAAACAGGAAAAGGATTAATCAGATACCTGTGAAATAGTTTCGTAGGAAGGTGGTACTACAAGGTCACAATGGTGGTCATGCTCAGAAATGAAGTTTGAATGCCAGAAAACAGGTTAATGCACCATTGAATGCAAGACACAATAAAACACTAAACAAAATTGATATTTTATATGAAGGGATAGACTGCTTGACACTACGGTAACACACTCATAATCATGCCAAGATGTTCGGTGAATAGGCAATTGAAAGTGAATTCTTGTGTGGAGAGAAGAAGATACCTGCAAGAGAAAGAAAAAGGGAGAAAAGTGATGAAGATGGCAGATCCTCACTAGAATGGGAGCAGGGGAGTCTATATTTCCATCATTTTGGAAAAGCTTACAGGATGTTCTATATGCAGTACAATTTTATATAGCACAGGTCAACCTAGAAAGGTTACACAACCAGAATAAATAGGTTTTGAATGAAAACTTAATTAGATTAAGCTAATTGCAGATCCCATAAAGTGTACTTTTTTAGCTTGCAGTTGGTTTTACACAACCCCATCATTTTGGCCATCCACTCCAGCACAAGCAAACTATAAAAATTTAAATGTAACCTACCTGAGTTGCAGCAGGCAAGATGCAATTTGCTAAATCTTCATTCACAGATACAGGCAATGGTGACATCCGGCTCATTAAACCCGGCATACATCTCATGCTGCAAGAAATCATTGTAGAAATTACAAAACCTGAAGCTTAGGCAACAGGGAATCAATCACCAATTAATAATTATAAAGATCCACGTACTCGTTTAGAATGGCAGTGATATTGTTCCTTGTGTGATAAAAGAGATTAATATTATCCTGCAACTTTTCAGACAAACTGCATTTAATAAGCCAGCCTCAGAAGAATGTCAAAAAGAGCCCATATAAGATATGATGCGATCACATACAAGATTTACATAAAAAGAACAAGAATAAATTGAACTATCTAATATGTAAGACACAGCTTTAAAAGGAATCTATCCTGATTCTTGAACAATAACCATGACCTTTTTATTATATGTAAATTCATTCATCATTGAATGGAATAGTTGTCAACTTACTTAACCTCTTCAAAGAACTGTCCATTATTATCTGTGTAAATTCTTTCATTCATCATTTAATGGAATAGTTGTCAATTTATCTAACCTTTTGAACAATAATAATGACATTTTTATATGTAAATTCCTTACATTTATTACTGAAAGGAAAAGTTGTCACCTTATTTAACCTCTTCACACAAAAAACTGACATAACCAGCAGACACCATTGAAATATAGGACAAACAAGAAGACAAGGTATTCAACTCATCTAACACCTATAATTTACTGTATGCTTTCATATTTTCCAAAGACAGATTGCTGTAAACTAGGGCAAGATATACTCACCTTATATGCAGACAGGTTCAATGTGATTTGAATAAAAGCTTGAGAATTTTGCTTCAAAAGTTTCAGTCATACCAGTTATTCCTGAAAATTAGCGATGATTTTAATTTCAAGCTTGTCCTCCATAAAAATTGTTTTACCTTGTCTTGTGAATTATATTGTGTTTGAAATCACTCTTCAAACAAGTTCCAACTTCTAAATGCACATACTCATTTTATAATAATATAGTTAATATCCCATAAGGAAAAGAAATAATGAATACAAATGTTGACACTTGACATACTGTGCTACAATTTGATTAAATACTTCCAACCAAAACCTTTTCTATCTAGATTGCTTTCATCAAATTATGTTGCTTGTCAAGTTTTTCATTTCCTCAACTTGGTTAACTTTAAATACCAAATAATCAACCTCATTGACACCTAGTCCCTTATTCAAGGAGACAAGAATTGAAACTTTTTCCCAGGTAAAACTTATCAGCACATATGCTTGTAACAAGCACCAATCTGATAGCTAATGTCCATCTAATTCATCAGTAACTGTAAACCACTTAATATTAAAACTCAAAACCTCAAAATCATAATTTCTTCAACCTAAATCCACCATAAACATCTTGGAAGATTACCCCAAAAGTTTGAATAATCAAAAGCAATTACCACCAAAAGAAAGATATCAATGCTTCTAGATGGTAATATAAAATACAAACCTTCAGAAGACATTCTTCCATTCTGATCCGGATGGTTCATCGTGAGAGGATATGCAGCCATGTTCTGTGGCAGTGCTGAAGGCATATTCACCATTGAGGATGATTCCACTTGCTTACCCTGAAGAAGTATGGGGTTTGGAATATTGGTTTTTCAATCATGTTACATCCTAAAGGTATTATCATTGAACCAAAACAGGAATTCCAGTTATGGCATTCATCTTAGCTATTTGAGGCACAGAGAATTTGTTGAGTTGATTTTTGGTCAGAATTAGCAGTTTTGTTTGTAATTTGACTTGAAGGAAAGAAAGGAATTGAGAGAAACTGTAGTCATTTCCGACAAAAAGTGATAAAGCTTCACAGTCAGAGGTGTGAGAGAAGTTATCAACGAATTAGTGAACAAGGTTGAATAGATAAGGGTTTCTCAGAATGTAGCTTCACAAACTAGGAGTGCATCATTGAGCTTAAGACAATATTCTTAGGGCCCAATGAGCACAGTACACACAGAACAGTCTTTGAACAAGAGATTGTTATAGTTGATACTGATGATAAAATGCATTTTATACAAAGTAACTAAGGAATCTCATGGAGCCTACCATTCTATGAGCTTCTTTTCAAGAAACTTAACTAACATTTTTAAAACCAATTTAGGGAGAAAAAGAAGAAAGAAATCAATATTAAGTATTGTACAAATTTACATAATTCATCAGCATACCTTCCTGTTGTTCATCTTCTTTCCTGCATTAAATTCTTCAGGTTTCCTTCGCTTTCTCTGTCAATTTCCAAATATAACTTTATCTCTTAAAGCAGATGACAGATTTTAAATGTACAAATATAATGTCTATAAAATAAAATGTATAGAAGCACATTAACAGATTGGTTGGATTCTACTAGCTGCAGTCAATGCCAAAACAAATAATTGAACATTGCCGCCAGCATACCAAAACTAATACTTTTGCACGCCACTTTTTCATATTAGACCACATGAAATAAGATTAAAAATAGAACAAATAATGAAAGAAATGCATCATTAAGTAAAGAAGCTTACTTGCATCCACCTACACCTCAATGCAACATCACGTATAGTTTTATCATGCAAGGTAGCTGCAATCTTTATGTACTTGATAATATTTGGTTCGTCCTTATACCTATATACATGTACATTAAAATAAAAATCAGTATTTAATCTCGTTTCCAAATAAGACATACCTGATAAGTACCTACTTAAAAACAGGTTCTACCATAAAAAGCATAAGCAAAAACACACAGCAATCCTAGTAAAATCAATAGGGTAGCTACTACCAGGGTTTCAAATAGCACCCCGCTACCGCGATAGCGCCAGCGATTTCGTGGTATCGCTGCCTTCCGCTACACCCGTTACACCCGCAATAGCGCCCGGTATGGCCGCAATCGCGGTAAAAACAAAATGACAGAAAACACGACAGCAATATGAAACCCTGGCTACTACTTAATATCAACCATGAAAACATGGACTTATTTACTTATATAAGTAGCACAATTTTATGACACTTGCATACGTCTACAAAAGGCTTCGAATAAAATGTAAGAAGAACTAATTAGG